TGTTAAGCAGCTATGGGACGATCACCAGTGAATACAAAACTTTTGCATGCCTAAGGCCACTTTGATGGATGTTTGTGAACTGCTTTCCCCTATCCTGAAGTGCAAGACTAGCAGAATAAGACCCTTTCTCACAGTGGAGAAGTGAATGTCAACTGCTCTGTAGAAGAGTGCAGGGCCAGACTGCTGCTGATTAGTTGGGAATCAATTTGCAGTGGAGGAATCTACAGGGGGGCTGTAGTGATCCGTGTAGCCAGGGCAATCAATACCCTTCTGCTATGAAGGGTAGTGCCTCTGGGAAATGTAGAGGACATAGTGGAAGGCTTTGCCATATGGGGGTTCCCTAACTGTGATGGGGCAATAGATGGGACACACACACCCATCTTGGCACCTGATCACCTTGCAAAGGAGTGGATACATTGCAAGGGGGTATTTCTCAATGGTGATGCAGGGGCTGATGGATCACAAGGGCTATTTCACTGACATTAACATGGGATGGTCAGGAAAGGTGTATGACACACACATCTTTAGCAACTCCTGCCTCTTTGGTAAGCTGCAGCTGGAACTTTTTTCCCAGATTGGAAAGTTATCATCAGAGACATTGAAATACCAACAGTGATCCTTGGCAACCCAGCCTACCCTTTGCTCCTGTGGCTCATGAGGCCATACACAGGCTCTCTGGACCGCATTAAAGCACAGTTCACCTACAGGTTGAGAAAGTGCAGAATGGTGGTAAAATGTGCTTGTGGGTGTTTAAAGGGAAGGTTCTCAAGCTACTAACCAGTTTAGATCTCCGCAAATGCAACAGTCCCATTGTAGTGGCAGCGTGCTGTGTGTTCCATAACATTTGTGAGAGTAAGAGGGAAAAGTATCTGGCAGGGTGAGGGACTGAGGCACAGTGCCTAGACAGGGATTTTGAGTAGCCATACACTAGGGCAATAAGGAGAGCACAGCAAGGGGCAGTGAAAAGTAGAGAAGCTTTGAAAGACAGTTTTATGAATGGCCCCTTTTGAAAGTGATGTATATTGCTTGTTCAGAAATCATGCATTTTTAGTAACACAGCAGGAACAGAAAAGGAGTCCAGGGTGGGAGTTTCAGGAGTAGGGGATGGTGGTGATCACAACTGAGAGAAGGACATCCTTTTGCTTCGTGATGCATCCCTGGAGGTAGAGGGTTAGGCTATCCTTGCCTCTACCCCACCCCCCCACACACATGTTCTAGGGCTCCTGGGAGAGGAGGCTATGGCTGTCTTTGAGGAGGGAACATTGGTTTACAAGGGCTGGAAGTGGGTGCCAGCTCAAGTAAATGTCTTGGCAAGCCACCATGTGGCCCATCACAGTGGCCATGGATGACCAGACTCCCTCCTGATGTTTCACTTCCAGTTCTCTACACGTTCTCCTTTTCCTCACACCCTGTTCACTTCTCCCCCAGCAGCATGTCCCTCCACTCACCTACACTCTCCCTGTCCAAGTCGGCAGATTGCATTTGCTTCTTGAAGATCTCTTCCCTGCGGATTTGCGCTAGGCGAGGTGAACAGCTGGAGGGAGCAGGGGAGTGCACAGCAGCCTCACTGCTGTTCCCATTGTAATGAAAAGTGAAGGGCAGATTTTACAGGAGATGCATCGCAGAGTGTAAAACCAAATCTGTTAGCATAAAAGGAAGGTCTGTCTAAAGACAATAGGGATGTCTTACGTACAAGGCCACAGTTATGCTTTTAAGTGGCCACTATGCACCATGTCCACCTCAGAGTTCTTAGGGGAGCAGCTGGACTCAGTTTGTTGGGAAGCAAGTTCAGGGAAAGGCCAGCACCCGCCTGCAAGCAGGAGGGAGGAGAAGGTTTAGGCGTGGCAGCAGGGCAGGGCAGGAGCTCACCAGGTGTTCACTCCCATTGGCTGGGAGAGTGCAACTTTCCCTTCCCATAGGAGTGTGTGGGCAGGAGGAGGTCTGGGTGAGGCAACGGAGCTGGGCAGAGGGGGAAGAAGGGCATGAGCAAATGGAGGTTTACTGTACAGGCATCAGCTAAGAGCTTCCCTTGCTGCATCACAGTTGCCATGTGAGATATCAGTCTTCTCCAAATAACAGAGTGACAGGGAGCAGAGGCTGACTGAATGTGGCCAAAAACCTGGACCTTTTGCTGCAATGCTTTGTGCTGCAATGATGCAACTTGCTGCTGGTTTGGAGTAGAAAGATGTCCTAATGTGGAGGACAGAATAAGCCAGGCCTCCCGCAAACCTTGTGAGAAGGATTACAGTGTTAATGTATGAGAGCCTTATGGAGATGTGCAGGGAGGATTCCCGCTCTGTCTCCAGACATGTTAACAAGCTATTCCAGGGACCCCCCTGCTGGGCCGCTACAGATCACCCCTTTACTTTTTTTTAAATCTTGTTCAAAATGAGTTAACTCACTAGAAGTACCTTCCCCAGGATCATTGTCCAACTGTGAGATGTCCTGGGAGTAGGGGGCTGTCTCCAAGGTTATGAAAAGTTCTTGGCTCTTGGTGACATCAGTTGCCCCACTTGCCTGCTGACTATTCCCCACATCTTCCTTCATGCTGTTGTGTGAAGCTGCCTGAGTATCTTGGGAGGAATCCACACACTGACTAGAGAAACTGGCTGGGTCCTGTCCCCCAAGGATTGCATGCAACTGCTCAGACGTGGCATGCTTGCAGTGATGCTCCATACCACGTCTCCTTTGTCTTTTGGTACAATTGCCTTGGCTCCTTTATTTTCTCGTGGCAAGGCTGGGCATCTCTGGAGTATCGTTTCTCCTCTATGCCCTTTGTGATTTTGGCATAGATATACACATTTCTTTTGCTAGTTTGTAATTCTACAAGAACAGATTTCTCTCTCCACACAGCAATGAGGTCCAGGATCTCCTGGATGCTCCATGCTGGTGCTTGTCTGTGACCCCAGGAACTCATGGTCAGCTGTGCTGCCTGCTCTGAGGTCTGCTCACCACACAGGAAATGAAATTCAAAATTTCCCAGAGCTTTTCCTCTTCCCATGGAGAGCAGCAGAGTTGAAAGTCATGGCCAGAGCAGACATCACGGGGCACCATAAAATGCCTCCCTGAGGCCAAGAATATCACTTTCAAAGTGTTGCTTCAAAGCGCTACCACAAATTTGACCATGCAAGGTCAAATTAGCAGTTATTCCTCGTGAAAGTGGAAGTACAGAAATCAACTTTAGTAACCCTTAAAGTCAACAGAATGGGCTTAGTGGTATTGACTCCTTGTTTAGAAAAAAAAAAAAATCAACCTAATGCAGCTAAGTTTGACCTAAACTCCCTGTGTAGACCAGGCCCAAATTGGCATGATAAAAATGTCCTTCATAAGGTCTAACGTTTTATGGCTGTCAAGACCTTGAACTAAGTTTATAAACCATAGTTTATAGCAGGGGCAGGCAAAAGGGTCTCCGCAGACCGGATCCAGCCTGCCAAGCAGGTGCATCCACCCCATGGAGGCTCTACTGCTCCCCCACCCCCAGGAGCACGTGGAGCTTTAGAGCGCAGTGCTGTGCTTGCAGGGGGGGAATGTGGAGGCGACTTTGCGCACTCCCCATCCCCCAGGCCAATTAGGGCCTGGGGAGCTGTGTGAAGCTTCCTTCACCCTGCTCCGGCCCTGAGAGGAGCCCGCGGCCCTTCAAAGTGCTCCTAGGAGGGCGGGAGGAGGCTTTTAAACACTCCCCTGCCTCCAGGCCTTAATTGGCCTGGGGGTGGGGGAGTATGCCAAGCCTCTTCCAGGGCATGGGTGCCTAGTGGGAAGGGGGGGCAAAGGAGCTCCCTCACCGCCAGATCAATCATGGTCTGGGGGGGTAGCCCCACCCCTTCCCATTTAGGCCCTGCTCCTTCCAGGGTGGCCTGGGGCCACTTAAAAAAATTTTGAAGTTACTGTAAAGGCTCAAAAATTTTTGAAGTGGCCCCTGGGCAAAAATTATTGCCTACCCCTAGTTTATAGTCTGTATTACAGTAGCCTTTAGAGATCAAAACAAAGATCACGCTATTTTGAGCATTGAGCAAAAGTCTCTGCTTCAAAGAATTTACCATCTAAATAGACAAGACATACACAAAAGTATTATTCCTATTTTACAGTACAGAAAAAGCAAAGGGCAGATTTTCAAGTGCTCAGCTCCTTTTGTGGCATGTATGGCTCAGTTTGGGGACGATCTTTAGAAAATCTGGTTGCAGTTGCAGATGCTAAGTGAGCCCTTGTGAAAATTCTGGCCTATGTGATTTGCCCAAAGTCACACAGGAAGTCTTTGGGGGTATGTCTACACTACCCTCCTAGTTCGAACTAGGAGGGTAATGTATGCATACCGCACTTGCTAATGAAGCCCGGGATTTGAATTTC